GAAGTATTCCTGCCCCTCTCTCTTGCTTGTTCCCTGAAAAGCTGTGTAAAGGATGCAGGAGAATCGTTGAGAAATCTTCTCAGCACTCAGTTGAAGGAATGGGTAATGCTGAATCCTTAGCAGATATCGTTCCTGAAAGTAGTTATTAGGATAAGTACTTTTAAATAAGAATAATTGGTAGGCTAAACAGTATCAAAATGTTTCCAAATATTCATGATTTATTCCTTTGGTATTTGATGTCATGTCTGCTGAAACGTACTGAAGTCTTCTAGGAAAAGGACAGATAAAAAGACAGCTTTCAGGGGACAGAAATAAGCAAGAGAATAATCCAATCAGCCTGTCTTTATATATAACAAGAGAACATCAATTCTTCTGTTACTTTTGTACAAATCATCTTTTTAACAACGGCCATCTTTTCCAGTGCTGTCTGCATTTAGTCACAGATAAAGTACAGCTTTATACTCTATGCTAAACAGCACATTTCATGCCAGAGCATTTAAACATAATGCACATAAAGAGCATCAGCATACATTTTACTGTGGCTTTCCAAGAAGTAACCATCTTAATGGCAATGCGGGTAACTACCCAGTTACTTTCTGTGCCCAGTAGATAGCTGCTGCTTAAAGCAGCTGAAGTAGCTGTTTTGAAAAACCTTGAAGCAGAAAAGACAGGGTTAGCCTTTTTTCAGTATCAGTAAATACTGAAAAGGCTGGTTTTCAGTATTAGTAGCTTTTAGTGTCCAGGTACCTCAATGAACTATCCAGAGTTCACTGAGCTACATTAATTCAAAAAGCCTAACAAGCCTATAAAAAAAAGATGTTACAGCACTGACTGTTGGAAATAATAAACCAGTATCAGATCTAAATCCCCTGTCTTTCAACTATGAATATCAAAGCAGTACCTAAAGCTGCTGCTTTGATATTTGAAGTTCACTGTAGTGAACTCTGAAAGCAATTCTATGGTGTTTTGTCCCCTCTCATTCCAGCTTTCAGAAATGTCCCAGCTGGACACACTCCTTATTTAGAGAAGTTGATGCACAGTCTTTTCCCATACTATGTATCCCTGCCAGGTGCAGTTTTGTCTCTCTGTTACCACAGGTATACTTAATTTTAAAAACGAAGAGGCAATGTATTTTCACAGCACAAGGAGGTGAGATTGGAATAGTCCAAAGGTTGTGGAATTGACCCCAACACTGAAGTGTGTCTGTCTCTCAGGCTGCACTCCCTGTGAGGTTTGATCCTTCAAGACGTTTGCAGGCAGGGTCCCAGCCTGCTTCTGCTGAAGCCAAAAGGAGCACATTCATACTGCAGTGTATGTTCCCCCGAGCTTCAATGGTCTTTCACATCACTTCTCCACCGCAGAGGAAAAATCTTCCAAAAGTCCTCACCCCAAAGAAGCCAACCTTTCCCAGCACCTGGAAATGCACCCCAGTAGTAGTGTAACACTGACATCCAGTGGATGAAGAAATGCAATTTCACACATTTGGAAAGAAGTGGCAATGCGGGAAGTATGAAAAAAAAAGAGGAAGAACTATTTTGTTCATAAAAGTTTGGACTTTGTGAGAGCCAGGAACTAGCCTGGGATCTTCCCCAAACCCACAGGTGACCCCGGGTGGGAACTTTTGTGTCATCCATTATAATTTCAGACAAACCAACAAAATCTGCTTGCTTCCTACAGGTCAAATTCGTTCTGCTGTGCGAAACTACAGGGATGATGGAGCCTGGCATTTTTGCTCCTCTGTAATGAAAATGTCTGGTTTCCTCGGCTTACCCTAAATAAATCACACTGCTTCACGTTGCCTTCCATGTCCTGCCACAAGTGCATCAAACCCTGAGCAAGACAGATGAATCTGCAAAAGAGCACCAGTAGGGGGAAAGGAAATCTAAAAAGGAAAAATAATTTTTGACTTATAACAAAGACAACGTCAGCATTTTGAATGTGTCCTCTCACAGTGCATGCAATCTGTACTCTCAGTATATTAGTGATTTCTGCTTACAAGAAGAAAAATACACGTGAATATAGACAGGATATAGAGAGTTCCTCCTCAGTTAATAAAAAATGAGGATCAGAAGTCAGTTGCATCCCCAGTTTATACTACTATTTCATATTGATTTACACATTTGCATTCCTTAAAGCACTACAGCAACAAGGATGTATATACCTGGTATAAAGTCTTATTCATATTAAGAGGGCTCTTCCCCCCCCCCCCCCCAATCAATGCAAAAATTGCTGAATGGGGAAGCCATCAAACGATTCACTGCTCTTTACTGACTTGCTGAATGGGGAAGCCATTACTATTGCTGAATGGGGAAGCCATCAAACATTCACTGCTCTTTACTGACTTGTGTAGCCTGGGTTCACGTGGATCTTGCCTGCTGTCCCTGCCAGCAACACACATTGTTTTGCTCTGCTGACAGCTGTCCCTCCTGGTGATGACTAACCTGTGAAGAGCTCTATGGCTCTTCCAAGACAGATCATGTTTTCACTGAACACCCATAGACCTGTTCACCAATATGACAGGCACATCACATCTCTATAGTTCTCTCTTTGGCACCAAAACAGTATTTTCAGCTGCCCCGCTATTCTGCTGATCAGGTCCTAACAGGATTCTCCGGAGGAGATCAAATGAAAACATTGCACTGGCATGCAGCCCTGGGTGAGGTCAGGAAGTGACAGCCATTAAGACAACAGTAGTCTTCAAAAATACCAGGGAATAAGGAGAATAAGCATAAAATTTGGTACAGCAACCCTCTGTCTCCTCCTAGTGTAACCTCCACATACTCTTGGTGCTTTCGCTCCCTATTTCAGACTTCCACGCTCCTCTGGCCATGCTCTTCTGCTCTGCTAATACTAAACCCTTCTTTGTCTCATGTGGGCCCTGCTTATACATATTCCATTTTTGCATCTTCCATTTTCTTCCCTTTCTGAGATCCGGCAGCTTTGCCCCATGCCTGCTCTCCAGACCCTTCCAGCCCCAGGCTAACACTCCTGCACCTCACCCCTGGCTTCACATCACCTCCCAGTATACCTCTTTACAGCAAGGGTGGTAAAATACAGGCACAGGTTGACCAGAGAGGTGGTAGATGTGCCATCCCTAGAGACATTCAACGCCAGGCTGGATGTGCCTCTGGGCAACCTGATCTAGTTGATGATGTCCCTGTTCATTGCAGGGGGTTGGACTAGATGGCCTTCCAACCCAAGCTATTCTATGATTCCCAGGTAAGTAAGTGTCCCCAGACCAGCCCCCACCTCACCCTCCCACTGCCATATCCCTGCAGCCCTGTTTCTGGCTCAGCCCACTCCATAGAAACTGACGATCAGTGTTTATTTTTAACAGTTACGTTTATGAATGATACTGTAGTCACTGCAAAATTCACAGCTTCCATCTGAAAATTTTAAGTCATTTTCAGCCCAGAGAGCCTACATAATGAAGAGACTGTCGATATTCCAGACCAAACTACCTGGAACACCACAGCCCGCAAAAGCATCAGCCCTTATTCCAAAGGAAAACACAGCTGGCTGTCAGAGCATGAAGGACAAAACACCACATCGTGGGAGCTGACAGCCAAGCTTCTCTCAGCTCTAATGAACCCCCGACTCCACCCAGGACATGTAGAGCCCGTGCTGGCTGCGTAATCAGCCCAGCCCGGATCACCGGCCACCCCTAGGCTGGCCTGAGGCCTGGGGGCCTGCCTGCTCAACAATGGCAAGCCCTGAGGGAGCAGGGAGCAGGAAGCCTTTCAGTACTTCAAAGGGGCTGTGAGAAAGACCGGGAAGGACTATTTAGAAGGGCCTGTTTCGATAGGATAAGGGGTGATGGCTTTAAACTAGAAGAAGGAGATTCAGTATGGATGTGAGGAAAAGATCTTTTACAGTGTTAAAACACTGGCACAGGCTGCCCAAAGAGGTGGTGGATGCACCATCCCTGGAGATATTCAAGGCCAGGCTGGATGTGGCTCTGGGCAATCTGGTCTAGTTCAAACTAGTTTATTCAGATGTCCCTGCTCATTGCAGGGGGGGTGGACTGTATGATCTTTACCTTCAAAGATCATCCTTCCAACCCAAACCATTCTATGAAGGCCACCAGGAGGTGAACCAAAAGCCTCCACATCGCTGCGTTCCCGCACGTCCCTGTGGGGACACAGACGGCGCCCCATACAGCAAAGCGAGGGGTCGAGCCTGCCGCCGCCATGATGCGTTTTGACTTAGAGCTCCCCCACCTCCGTCTCCCCGTCACCCTCTAACGGCCGCTGTGGCGCCTCGCGGGCCCCCATCACGTGCGCAACTGCACGGGCCACGTGGGGCCCGGCTGGCATGCAGTATGGCCCTGCCTCGCCTTCGCGTTGCAGGGAGATTGACAGTGAAACCAGACAATCAAAGGCACCGGCACCACCTCCACCACCTCCTCCTCCTCCTCCTCCTCCCCCGCGCGGCCACCCCTCCTCCCCTCCGCCTACGATTAGCTGTGTCATCCAGCGGGTGACATCGGGGGCGGTTGCCAGTTGGCTGTGGAGGCGTCCGCCTCCCGCCAATGGCCTCGCCAGCCGCATGACTGACACCTCCCCTGTCCAATAGTTGCTTGAGGGCAGGAGCGCCAGTGAAGGGAGGGGCGGAGCATTGTGAAAATGTCGTTGGGGACGGTCGGGAGTGTGGCGTTACTGCCGTTCCGCTGCGGCGGTGTCTGGCGCCGTTGAGCGGCAATAGCCGCTGCCGTCCTCGTCATCCCGAGTGCCTATCTCAGAGCCCCGCCCTCAGGGCCGGCTAACGAAGTTGGCACACTGACGGAGCCTCCCCTCCCGCCGCGGTTGAGGAGGGCCTCAAGGAGAGGCGCTCGGTGGGCGGGTCTTGGTGCTGTTGCGGTGTAACGGGCAAATCCCCTGTCCAATGGCTTCCGAGGGTGCAACCTGCAGCCCAATCCGTAACGCTGAAGGGCGGGGCAAATAGGGGCGGGCGCCGGGGTGCCCCATTTAAGGGGCAAATCGACGGCGGCGAGGAAAGTTTTTTTTTTTCTTTTAGTTTTTTTTTTTCTTTTTTTTTTTTTTTTTACTCCCCCCCCGTGTGTTTCGGAAGGGGGGAGGGGAGGGCGCTTCACGCTGCTTCTTCGTGTTTGTTTCCCGGGTTCGTGTTTCCCGGTCGGCCGGGCCGGGCCGCCACGGCACTGAGAAGAAGGGGGCTCAAGCGTACCGCGGCGGCGCCTCAGCGGTGAGTATAGGACAAGCTCCCCTCATTTCCCCTCCCTCTCCCCCCGAGCGGGCCGCGAGCCTCACTCCCTCCCTCCCTCTCTCCTTCCCTCTCTCCCTCAGCGCCCTTCCCGCCCTCAGGACCCTCCCGCCGCCTCTGAGGGGGTCTTTGGCGCAGGGCGCGCACGCCCCTACCCCACCCCCCGAGCTGCACCGCTACGGGGGGCGGGAGGGAGGAAAGGAGAGGCCGGGCCGGCGGGAGGGGCCCCGAGGGGCGCTACCCCAGCGACGCCGGGGCTGCTGCTCGCTTCCCATCCCCACCGCGGCGAGCGCTTGTCCCGGGGCAGAGCAGGGCTCGCACCGCCCCTCCCCGCCACCGAAGGTGTACCCCCCTCAGGTTTTCCCGACAGGGCCCCGTCGGGACGCCTGGGCGACCCCAAGGCCGCTCCCCGGAGCCGTGGTGCGCAGCGCCGTGCGCTCGGCTGGCTGCCGAGCCCCGGGAAGAGACGCCCGTACGGTAGCTCGCCCAGAACGGGCAAAACGTACAACGGCGGAAGGGCTCTGAGAAGCCTTTTTGCGGCTGGGGTTGAAAAGTGCTTTGGTGTGACGTGGGGACAATGCTGAGGTTACGTTGATGCCGCTACAAACAGCGCTGGATATGTTGCTAGTTAAAATGCGTGTATGGGGATGGGAGGGAGGAGTGACCAGGCTCAGAGGTGTGTCCCAGGCAAGGGGATAGGAAAAAAAAAAGTTTCCGCAGCTGTTTGTAGCAAAATGAGCGAGTGTTTCTGGAGACACTTCACCGGTTGTGGGTAACACTGCTTGTAGCATGGTATCTCACAAGCTCAAATCTTGCTGCGTGAAAATGCATGTAGGAGTATCTACTACAGGGTACAACTGAGGCTTGTTGAATAAAACCAAGTTTCAACAAAGTGTTTTCCTAGCCAAAACAGACTTGCTGGCTACTGTAAACAGTACTTCGTTTTCTCATGCTTAACATTTCACTATCATGAAGAATATTTGTTGAGATATCTCCATAAAATTAACTCTCTTTTCTTGCAATCCATAGTATTACATTTAATCATGATTTGCTAGATTTCAATGTTGCGTTTTCATCCCCTTCAAAAACTCTGAATCTTCCTGAGAAAGAAGTAGGTAGATCTTTGGAGTTTGTATTGGTCCTTCTTTGAAAAGTCTGATTCACTTAGTATTTTTCAGTAATACTGCTACCCAGATGAGTTGGGTTTTAGTTTCTACTACTAGCGTTGGCAGAGGTAATACCTTAGATTTGTGGGGTTATTAGATATGTGCACAAATTCAGCTAACTTTGTAGTTTGCCTCCACTGAAGTTCTTCAACAATTCCCTCATCTCCCATGGTGACTCTCTCTGATGGCATGTGCAGCTGGTGAGAAGCTGGGTGGTCTATGATTTCATCTGCTGCATTACCTGGGGTCATGAATTTAAGGATAAGGTCAAGTTTTATTATGTGATCCATCATTAGTGCCAGGACAGCCATGTAGGTGTATCTCAAGGAGTGGTTTGTTAAGGGTGACTTTTTAACTGTATTTAACTAACCTGCGGGTAAAACTGATCAATTCTGCAGTGATGAAATCACCCCTGCAAAAACTTAGGGCTGGGGAAGGGGGAACAGAGCCTACAGTATGTGCTAGCTTTTCTGCTGTGAAGTTTTAGGAGCAACAAGGTGTAGGCACATCTTTCTGTGTATTAACTAGGTGAGGCTATCACAACACCTTTTCCTTTCATCTTGGTAAGCTATATGTAAATTAGTATAGATTTCATGAATATGCATTTTTATGTAAAACAATACAAACGTAAAGAATTAGCTCAGAAGTTTCAGTGCAAATTGGTAAAATTCTAATGGGCATCCTTCATTAGTGAACTTGGTCTTGGTTTCTGTTTTCTCATAATGTTGTTACTTGGATGCTTAGTAAAGGGAATCACTTCAACTGTGTAATGTGAAAGTCCTGGAAAAACCCCCAAAACTTCATAAAACAGTCATTGTGTCTTTGTTAGACAGTCTAGCAGCTCTATAGCTGCTAATTTAGCTGGAAATCTAATCCTTCATTTAAATGATTACCTCAAATGTTTGGAAATAAAAATCTTGGAACTGTGAATCACAAAAAAAAAAAAGCTTTATTTATCCAAGTTTGTGTGACTGAATAGTCCAGTAAAACATTTAGGTAGAATGTGTGTCATGGCTTTGCTTGGTGATGAGTGTTTGATCATTAAAACTTGAAGTTGGAGGATGACTTGAAGGGGAGAGAGCTTTAGGAGAGAATTTTGCATAGTTCTGAGGTAGTGTGTTTTACTTTAGATCTGCCTCCTGACATAGGAAGTAGGAAACTAGAAATAAATATGTTTTGCAGAAGTAATGCATAATATACTTCATATATAGAGATATCCGTCTAGAGCAATGGGATGAATAGCTGCATCCAGAATGACAGAAAGAATTGAACTACAGAATAAGTAATTTGAAAATATGTTCAAATGGGTTTGTTCTTTCATGGTTTTGAGTGGTGGTTTGTTTTTTTTTTTTTCCTCCAGTAAAACTAGTGTCTTTCTGCTCACAGAGATTGGATTTATAATTAAGCAGTATGAACTGGAGATCATGGAAGAAGTATAAGGAGCTTAGTTATTGACTTGAGTGAGTTTATTAATAGTCCACTTAATGGTTCAGTTACTTCATTCTCCATTTTCTGCAGAATGCTTGGATGCAAAGTCTCTTGCCATAGTCACTTATTGCCATTATCGTGTTTATTTTCTCAGAATATTTTTTATATATAGATATTTTCTGGTTTGTGCAGTAATAGTAATAACAACAATGAACAGTCATTTTCCAGCTTCTTTGCAATGGCTTTCCTCAGTAATTGCTCTCTAGTGCTGCTATTAGATTTGTAAATTCTGTCTATACTGAAGATTTACAAATGCTGCAGTACCTCTATTTACAGTGCATCTCACAGTGTACAGCTATTCAGCTCCTTATTATTAGATTTTATTTTTCACTCAGCCCTTTTTTGTGTGTAATTTCTGGATCAGTAAATGTGTCATTGTGAAGAACTGGGATTGTTTGCTTTCATAGGACCAATTAAGTATATTTAGCATGGAGAGAAGGGGAAGTACCTCATATTAGCAAATATGTACCAGTGATTTTCTTTTAGCTGACAAGATTTTTGCTGCCTTGATGCTTATAAAAATATATTGGCCTGAATTATCTCTGGACTTGCTTTTAATGATGCGTTTGTTGCAATTTCAGAAATTTTACTTGTGAAATGTTATACTGTCTTGGGCAAAGAATAGCAAGAAGATGTCAATCTAATGTCATGTTCTAATAACAAGAGCTTAGAGATGTTGAGCAGTTAGTAACATATTTCTAAGTGCTTGACTAGATGTGGTAGAATTAGACATGAATTCTTGCAGATAGTCTTCCTTAGCTTAACATTTAATGTCTTTCTCCCTTTTCAGACAAAATATATGTGCTATGTTTGCTTGTTCTTTCAGCAAACGTGTGGAATATGGACTGAAGAATTGGTTTTAATTTCTTGTGAATCCAAAGTAAACTTTCTGCTACTATCTGCTAATAAAAATAGGGACACTTTTTGGTACTTGAGGCAGCTGTCACTGTCAGACAAGTAGTTGCCTGTCGGTATTTGTGCTTGTGAGGTGACAAGGGTAATAGTAATGAGGATATTCTGATTGCTGTTCCTTGCTTCTTTTGGCAAATAGGAAAACTCTCCTACTTCCTTACATTTCTCTGCTTTGCTGTTCATACCTTCTTTGCATTGCGCCTTTTTTTTTTTTCCTTCAGGGAAGTAAGCAGCTTTGCTGCAAAGACTTGGTGTATTTAGTTTATTTTTCTCTGTTAGAGCAGCAGGCAGTGAGTATGTTAAATAATTTTTTCCTTTGCTACCTTATAGCAGCAAAAGGAGAGAGTGGTTTTGCACTTATTATGGTTTGCATCATGTTGTAGGGAAATGTTCTGAGGTTTTAAAGTCTTCACCAGTGTAAGGCTTGTGGTTGGAGTTTGGATATTCTTCATGTTTACCATTTAGTGAGCTATGGAGATGACCTTTTCTAGTTTCAGCTAGTCAGTACGGATTGCATTTCTAGGCCTTGCCAACTTTAGTAGTTCTGAAATCAGATATCTTGCATGTATTTCCTGATTTAATGTCTGTGGATTAGAAAAAACACAGTAGTTCCTCTGTGAAAAAATCTGGGACAAAAACTGATGTTGTCTGAGACTTGCACAGCCCAAAATTTTTTAGATATCTGTTTAAGAGGGCAAAAATGGATCTGAAAGTAGCATTTACCCAGCTTAGCTTTTAGATCTGTGGAGAAACATACTGCTTGTCAGGAGAAATAGGAGGTGCTGGAAGGCATATGTTATGCTGCATGATACAGGACACTGGTAAGAAAAAATGTGTAAAGTATAAACTGGTAGTCAGTATATTTTGCCCCCGTCAGGCAGAAGACTGAAGGCTGAAAAGCTAATTAGGGGATGAAAGGATAAGAAGCAAAGTTGCAAAACGAAGAGTTGATAATTTTAGATAGACTGACAGAGGATTAGGCAAAAGGTGATACTGTAATATCGTGTTGCCTGTGTGAGGGGAAGTCCTCTAAGCCATCTAAACGAGTTGCGAAGGAAAAGTCACTAATGTTTTTACTTATGTTTTAATTTTTATAATTTCATCCTAGCTCTTGCCAGCATTATAAAAAGCCCTGTAATGAACAACAACCTGACAAAGGGGTTTTCAGTAGCGTATTCAATTTTTTGGGGGGAACTCGCCAGGGACTTGGCGATCTGCTGTAGGCTAAACATGCTTTGGTCCTACAGTGATCCACCAACGTGAATAGGAGTAGGACTTCTTGTCTTGCTGCTGCTTACAGCCAAGTTATACAAATTGCCCAGCAGTCCTGTGTCAGGTCTAGTTACAAACTTGGATGTCTTATGGACTGTGTGTGGCTGAAGACACACAGGTTGTCCAGCTCTTCACTTGTATGTT